TGCTCCTAGTTCACATTACTCATTCACCGCAGGAAGAAGTGGGTCTTTATCTGAGAAAATACAGGGGGAAGCATGAAGGAGGAATCTCTGACAAATTATTAACTATTAACCCATCTGTAGCAATTACTAAAACTGCCTGCCAAGGATCTTTAGGGAGAGGAGTACATGAGCACTCACAAGTCAAGAATACTTAGAAAAATGAACACACTGGCAACTTACCTGAGAACAAAAGGATATTTCTTTAAAGCTTTTTTCAATTGCTACTTTTTTTGTGTCAGGACTGATAAGGTAAACTTCAGACTGGCCAATCTAAAAAAAGCAAAGTAAATAATAGCATGGTAACAAGTCACATTGTATTGCTGTAAGAATGTTTCCTGAACAAAAATAATCTCGCAATCTCCTGCTACCTGGATTTTTTTGAACTGATGAGCGCACTAGCAGTTGAGCAGGGAGAACACTTGAACAGCTTTGGAAGGACATGCAGAGCACTGCACGTTACTGAACTGAGATTTAGGCACATGTTTGAAACAAAACACTGAAAACAGTATTAATTAGAGCAGAGTGATACTATACTATAAGCAGAAGACATTTCACACTGAGAAAATTATATGTAATTTTCTTTTGTTATTTTCTGCAGGCTTGACACATACCAAATTTCCAAAAGTAGTTTTCCTGCAATTTAAAACCAAACATGAGCCTCTAATTTTTTTCAGGGTTTAGTATTGATTTTTTTTTTTTTTTAAGATGCACATATATAAAAATAAAGTTTTGGGGTAAGTTATGTTGTGAGAATAAGAATTTCCCATGGGAAAAGACTTTTTTTTTTTTTTTTTTTTTTTTTTTTTTTTTAGGTGAAACTACTGTTTGGGACTTTTCGACTTCTGGTAACGTCTTTGTAGCATTTTAACAGAATAGTATTTACATTCCCTCAAGTTCTTACACATCAGACAAGTTTGTTAGCCAGTTCCCACATTAAGTCACATTTAGAAGAAATGGGTGGAATTTGGAGTCATATGTGAATATGACTCAGATGAACCTCCTGAAGCTCCATCAACATACCCCATCCCAAACGGATATCAGTAGCACTAAGATACCTGTAATTTCTGAAGGGGGAGGAAAAAGAGTGGAAATGGACAGAGAGATGCGCCTCTCTCTTATTTTCCTTCTTTTCCTAAAAATAGTTCTGCTATTTGTTTTCCACTTTTACCAGGCAAAACAGTTTTTCGCTACTCCCTGCTGGCTTCCTTCAATTGTCCCCAGAGTCAACCTCTCTGTTGTTTATGAGAGGCCACTCTTTTCCAAAACCACACCACAGCTTTTACTGCTTTCTGCCTGCCTTTTCCTGCGGCAAGGGGCTCGTTCTTAGCTCAGCCCCACATAAAACTGCTTTTGCGTTAGGACCAAGAGCAGCAGAGATCATCTGAAGCCAGCTAAGCAAAGAGGGGAGGGAAACACACTCACTCACCCCTAGGAAACACACTCACTCACCCCCTCCTAGCTAGGGAGGCCTGGGATGCAAAAACCCAAACCATCTGAACCAGCTTGGAAGAGCTGGCACATAACATTTTTCACACTTCATACCCCAACCTCTGCTACAACCCTGGGGAATACACAAATAGGACCTCTAACTGAGAAAATACAAACAGCTTTTTTCCCCTCTGGGTATCAAATTACTCTGAAGCATTTCGTATGTATCCATAATCATGCACAAAGATGAAATGCTGTGCACACACCATTCCTCAGGAACCAGAGCACTGGGGCTGCCCAACCAAACCCGGCTCCGTGACGGGCCGATAGCCACTTCCAAAGTCACTAACCATGGTCATTCCACTTCTTTGCATCCACCTCAATTTAGACAAAGAACACAGTTCTGCATCTTAAAAAATGTATTTCCAGACAAAAAATAACCAGAGACAGAAACGCGGATCAGCAAAACTGTACAATTTGGAAAATGTGCCCATCAGCAGGTAACTGTGACTGGACAACTATTCAAAGTGGAAGGACAAAGAGGTTTGGGCCAGTTGCTCCGTCTGCAAGCAAAGGTTTAAGTTGCATGTCTACTCTGAGAGCTGCTGCATCTGTTTAATAAAAGTTTAAAATGTGTACACAAAGTTTGTGGCCATTAGAAGTAAAGGCCACAAAGTGAAGCACCGAAAGTTCCACAGGAACTTAAGGAAAAATTTCTTAACAGTGAGGGTGACAGAGCACTGGAACAGGCTGCCCAGAGAGGTTGTGGAGTCTCCTTCTCTGGAGATCTTCCAAACCCGCTTGGACGCAGTCCTGTGCCACGTGCTCTAGGTGACCCTGCGTGTGCAGGGGGGTTGGACTAGATGATCTCTAGAGGTCCCTTCCAACCTTAAGCATTCTATGATTCTATGACACAAGGGAGTAGGAGGGTCTGGACTTAAGTATGTCCATCCATAATCTCACCTTCCTCAAAATATGTGCCATTAATGAATAATTGAACTAGCATTTGTTTTTAAAAAACAAGCCTTAATGAATTTACAACTGGCCTTTATGTTTTCAATGTGAAATACCTGCTCAGAGGAACAAGGTAAAGACAGAATTGTTTTCATGAAGGAGAAACATTTCTTCACCTTCTTCCACTTCCCAGACTACCATGACTAAACAAAAGGTTTTAAGTCAAGTATAGTTAATTACACCTCCTTCTATATATTACTTTTTACAGACATCATACCTCCGTGTTTCTTGTTAAAGCAGCACTTGTCTTTTTCCCTTCCAAAAAAGGGCCCATTCTCTAACTGCAGCCCTTCCATGCCTTGCCCTTGGAAAACCCCAGCCTCAACAGCAGCTGACGTCTCGCAGGGCGCTGGCGATCGCTGGGTATCGTAACGTCACCTTCGTTCCACAGTTAGGTTTACATCACATATTCATGTCTCTTATGACAACCGGTTGATTTTAAAAGGAGCAGATAAAACAAACCCTACTTTTTTTTTCCCCTCCAAGGTCTCGAGAGGTGCTTTTGTTGCTGAGCTATGAAAGCAAGGGCATGGCTGGCACCACAAACACAAGGACTGGTGTGTGCGCGTGTGGCAGCCTAGGAAGCTACTGCTCTCTGCAGTGAGACACAGGCACTCTGGCAGCAGGAAAACCTTCCTAAATTGGGCTGCTTATTGTGGGACATTAATAAAAAGTCTACCGACCCACAGTCACAGTTTGGTCCTTCTGTTCTTAGCTACTGCTAATCTCATTCCCATGGAAATTTATTTCTGCTGTTACTAGCTAGTGTAACTATACGTATCATTTTGCACTTGTATAACTACTCCTTACTAACTTGCTGCAGCATTCCAAAAGTTGCCTTTGGAAGCCAAATATTTTACATAATGCTGATTTAAACAATTTAATGTAAACTTATTTAGACTATGTAAAACAGTTTACACTGACTAGTAATGCTTTATATAGAAATAAGTGACTTGATATTTAAGTGTATGCAATTAAGTTATTAAAGAAGTAAGTGCTGTCAGGACATCTGCATTGGGGTTTGCCGTGCAGAACTCAGAGATCTGAAAATTTCACTGAGAGCTGAAATCTTGCTTTACCGTAAACAACATCGTCCGGTTTTCTGCAATGTCCGTGGGCTGCACAACACTGTGTCCATAGATAAGTTGACTTTTTAGGTTCAACGAAATTGCATCTTCCTCAAAAGACCTGACGAAGCTGTTACTCCTATGGCTTCCCTCCTGCATTTCCTTCTTAAAAGCAAAAGAACGAAGCCCAGGCTGAGAAAAGGATTTTCTCATTGGCCTTTTTTCCTCCTCTTCACCGACCAAGGGATGAAAGACAGACCGAAATTTGTCGCTGAAAGAGAAGCCTCCTGAGTTACTGGTAGTTTCATGTCGTTGGGAAAACGAGTTGAAGTCTGATTTTTTTGCACCACTTGCATGATTAAACTTCTCGATGCATTCATCTATGAGTGCTGGGGGTGCATTTTTATGTGCTACTGTCACTCGTCCACAGAAGAGCACCTCAAACTTTTTGGCAAAAGGGTCTTCAACATCAGAAAGATTATTCTGAAACTCTTCTTGACGAGCTATTTTTCCAGCCTGTCGAATGGAGCTTATAATTTCAGGCACCTACAAGGGAAAAAAAGGAAACAAATGCACAACATTAATATTGGGCTCGTATGGGCAAAGAAGTTGCAGTACTAAGAGCGAGTGGCAAATGTGGGTTTCTTTCTTTTCTGGAAGACAAGCTGAAGGTTTATTATATTTCTGGAACAAATCCACTGTGTGAGCTAACCCTGATGACTGGATGAATTGCTTCTTTATTTTCCTGTCAGGAGTTCATCACCACCAGCACACTGTCAGAAGAGCTTCCTTCTTGTAATAACATATGTTTTCAGTAAAACATTTGCACCTAAAAAAAAATTAACTAGTTAATTTTTTGCTATGTTAACTAGTGTAACATAGCAAATTCACAACCTGCAGGAAAAACAAACAAACAAACAAACAAAAAATCTTTACATAGGATTGGTGATGTGAAAAAGTAATTTGGAAAGTTATTTATCTCTGTTTTTTTCCCCCTCTCTTCTCTTACTCAAGCTTACTCAAAAAGTTATTTATCTCTGTTTTTTTCCCCTCTCTTCTTTTACTCAAGCATTTGCATCATGTAGATTAAGGAGTGTCTTGCAAATTTTCTTTCATCTCAGCAATAGAGTATTATGTTATGTCAGCTTAGTTCTTTTTTTTTTTTACTGTAAGTAGCTGTGCTTTTTAAAAGAAATTATATCTCTTTTAGAGGTTCATTTCTACAGACCTAGATGACACTCTCAGATAGTATTACTTCAGTAGATAGTATTATTTTTAGGGCCTGTGTAGGACTGAGCAGTCTGCTACACCCCACAGATGTAATTCTCCACAGAAACCTAACAGTCATGGGATCCATTTTATTAAGTCACTCTAACCAACCACAGTGTCTGATCTTGCTACAAGCAGGGTGTAAAACACATCTAAGGTACCCGCCTGGCTGCTGTGCGGCTGATCCTTGGTTACACCACATTGCTCAGATTCGTGGAAAACATTACGGTGCCTCTGCAGCACGTGCTGCTGCCAAAACAATAAATGCTGGACCACAATTTGTGACAACCTGTAACTTTTTAATTCCCCATAAAAACTTTGATAAAAAGACATCCTAAGTATGTGGGTTGCCTGACAAAACACACTTTCTTTGTGAGGTATCAATAGCTTACTTAGCAAACACTTGGTTTAAATAACTACTCAGAAGAGTCATATTCCCTGAATAAAAAAAAAAATAGCACCCCTAAATCTAATGAATGCTTTGCACACATCACCTCTGTCTTTTTCAGATATTTCTATGTTTTTCTAATAGTTAAGCATAAAAACCAACACTGGACATAGCAAAGGCATTAAGAGATTAAAAGTTGAAGAGAAAAAGTGAACAATTTCCCACTCAAAAGTCATGAAGACCTTAGTATCACTCCTTGTACAAACAAACAAACACACACACCTATATACATATAGGTATGTATGAATCTGTATATAGATACGCATATTTAAAGCTAGAAGACTTAAAACAATAAACAATAAGTAATAGATTTAAAAATAAATAACACGACTCAGGAAACATTAGTTCATCCCAGAGCATGATGTATGAATCAACAGTTAAATCATACAGTAAAGACAATAGGGAAAAGTTAAAAAAGTTGGGGCCATGACTTCCGAAGTCTGAGCTCGGCTATATCCCTAACTAGCTGGGAAGCCCTGAGTTTTTCACAGCTTTGTGCCTGACTTCTTATCCTAGATAGAAAGAACATAAGTAATAGGAACTTTCATTATTTGATATAATGTGCATTCATAAACAGCAAATCCCAGGTTTACTTCAGCTTCATTGAACCCGCACCCACCTTCATCTTCCCCCTCCACCACCCGTGGGCTTGCAACAAAACCCTCTGGTCAGGGGTTAAAGGTTCCGAAAACTGAGACGGGTTTGCCCAGCACTGTCCTTCTGCTTACTAACCTACTACTCTTAACTCAGACGGGAATTCATCCACTTTGCAGGAGAAAACAATCAAACAAACAAAAAAACAAACAAAAAGATCAGATGCTGATACTTTTCAAAGACCCTATTTTTTAGCCACATAACATACCAGGATGACAGTCAATAATAAAGTTTTATTTCTGTGTTATCAAGCTGTACCTGTTCTAGTATTTTCTTATAAACGTGTTTACTCCTGTGGGAATGTTTGGACAACCAACCAGAGGCAATTTTGCCTTTTCGTCTGCAATCCCATCAGTGTTTTTGCTGAGACTGCAGCGGTGATAGCAAAGGAATGAGGAATTTCCTGGAAAATGCTAATGTTATCACAGCAAGGAATGCCAGGACTCACCCAAGCAAAGCATTCCACAATCTCAGCTCAGGCTAAGTTCCCTCCATGCAGCTGGCACTGCTATTATAAAGGGAATTTGCAGCACAGCAGATACTGCATGGGCTGTAGTCTGGGTAAAGCCTAGAAAGGATTTTTGGGATCCATCACGGATAAAATGTTACTAATTTTGATTTCTTTAATGTTTCTTTTTTATTACCAAAAACACCAGACATTGACAAAACTGCAGTTCAGTAGCAGCTGGACTACACAGACCACAGTTAGAAAAAGAAACTTGGAATCACCCTGAGAACTCTTGTGAATTATTTCACAGCAGTTAAACTTCACGTGTGTAGAGACCTAGTGGGCCTGTTGATGAAAAAGGAGACTGTTTATTTAACATATACTAAGCCTTGAATTATGTCATTTATAACAGTTGGCCTTTGTGTTGCACTCTTGGAAAAAACACTGACTTCTCTGTTCCTGCTTATAAACTCCCCAAATTTTCCAGTCTATTAATATGATCTTATTACATCTGAATAGAGAATTGATGCAGTAATGTTTTAGCAGCAGCACATCAGTACCTTGCTTTTCTGTGGCTAGTACATGATAAAGGCTAACCTCTTTCAGCTAAGAAAGACAAAATGCTAAGAAAGACAAATGAGAAAACAACAAAACAGGCAGTCAGTATTAAAGGTCTGTCTATAGTGAGAGCTCAGATTACCTAGGCACTATCACCTTCTGAAGCACCTCTCTGTAAGCACCGATACTAATGTTTTTAATTTTAAAATGAATTTCAAGCTTTGTGTTCTTATTGTATTTTTGCATTCATAGCTTACTCTCTGAGATGAGCCTCAACGCTAGCAAGGACTCAGACTTACTCTGTTTGCAGGCATGGAAGCAGGTACTTCAGGAAGGATATCCTGGGACACAAGGATGGATGTGACCCTGTACACGAGAGAGCAGTGGGAATGCATGGAGCTCTGCCTCGGGTCAGGCAGCGAGCCACCCGAGAGCTACAGGTAGGGATTAGAGGGCAACACTGCTGGTATCTGCTCCAGGTCACCTGCTCAGGAAGAAGCAGATGAAACCTTCATCAGCTTACTGGAAGAAGTCTCACATTTGCAGGCCACGGTCCTCACGAGGGACTTCACCAACGCCGGTATCTGCCGGAAAGGCAACGCAGCAGGACATGAGCAATCCAGGAGGCTTCTGGAGCACAGTCCAGGTAACTTCCCTAAGAGACTGAGGACCTGATGCGGGGAGACACCTTCTTGGATCCGATCCTTACAAACAAGGAAGAACTGATCAAAGCTCTAAAGGCCAGGAGCAACCTTAGCTGCTGTAACCACAACATAGTGAGTGAAGTTGATGATCCTGAAAGGAGGGATCAAGGTAGACACAATGAGCACAACCTTCAACTTCAGGAGAGTAGACTTTAGACTGTTCAGGGATCTCCAAGGAAGAATCCCTTGGGGTATAATCCCGTAGAGAAGAATGGTCAAGGAGATGTGGTTGATTTTCAAGGATCACCTCTTCCAAGCTTGAAAACGGTCCATCCTCAAGCAAAGGAAATAAAGTAAAGGTGGCAGGTGGCCTGCACAGATACTCCTGACAAAACTCAGACATAAAAAAGAAAGCATATTACAGGTGGAAGCAGGGACAGATCACCCAGGAAGAATATAGAGATGTTGTCCAAGTGTTCAAGGATGCATTTAGGAAACTACATACTTCCTGGAGCTGAATTCACTCAGGGACATGAAGGACAACAGAAAGGGCTACTACAGTCATGTCAGCAGCAAAAGGAAGACTAGGGAAAGTGCAGGCCTGAACATACGCAAGTCCATAGGATCTTATGGGATGCACCCCCATGAGTGCTGAGGGATCTGACTCATATCACTGCAAAGCTGCAATTGCTTAGCTTTGAAAGGTCTTGGCAAGCAGAGGATGTTCTCGAGTACTGAAAAGAAATCAAATGTCGCTCCCATCTTCGAGACTGGCAAGGAGGGTCTAGGGAACTACAGGCAGGTCAGCCTCATCCCAGTCCCTGGGAAGGTGATGGAGTATATCATCTTGAAAGAAATTTCCAAACATGTGAAGGACAAGAAGCTAATTTGGAATAGTCAGCATGGATTTATAAAGACAAAATCATGTTTGACCAACCTGATCTCTTTCTGTGATGAAGCGAATAGCTTGGCAGATGAGGAGAGAGTGGTGGATGCTATTTATCTTGACTTTAACAAGGTTTGGACATTGTTTCCTATAACATCTTTACAGACAAACTGAAGGCTCAGAACTCACTTATAGGAAGGATTAGCATCAGCAGCATAAAGCCCGAGCAGTGAAACCCAGGGTCAGTACTGGGGCCAGCTGTGCTCACCTTACTCACGAGCAACCCGGCTGAGGGGCTACAGTTTACTCTACACACTTGCAGGCAGTTGTGCTGCCATTGAGAGGGACCTCAACAGGTTGGAGAAATGGGCAGAGAGGAACTTCAAAGGGAAGTGCAAAGTCGTGCTCATCTGTGGACACGGCCCTGAGCAAACTGCTCTAACCAGCGGCTGGACTGCATATTCCCCGGAGGTCTCTTCCAACCCAACTTCTCTGTGATCTAGATACCAACATGAAGCATGTGAGTCCTCTTACCTACACTCAAGTAAGACGCTGGGCGATGCCTGTTACACATGTGCAATTTCTTTCTGCAACACAAATTTTGTTTTCTAGAATACTTCTACTCTGAATACTTCTAGAATACTTCTTCTCTGGCTTCTTTCACAGTATAAATACGTAATTAAGTAGAGAGAGTTTACTTCTATAATCACCCAAACAACTGCCAATGACCTAAAATTATCTTCCTAAACCACAAAACTAAGTATAGAACAACAGTGTAAGCAAAGATGAATCTTTTCCAAACACAAAACATTGCTTTCTCATGTCAGATCTCTAACAATTCACACTGAACAAAGCAGGAGCAGCAAACAGAAGATACAATCTAAGCTTATGAGGAAAATTTCTTGAATTTTGAGCATCTGAATTACATACAGAAGCTAACACTGAACTGATTTTTTTCCTCCATATACACACCGTTATTTCTGCTATGATTAGAACATCCATCTAACAGAAACACATATATATACTGTTACATATATAAACAAAGCATAAAATTAAAATGCTGAGTGTTCCTGTGACTTGATTCTTGTATAAACCAGCGAAGGACAAACCAATACCTAAAACTTCTTAATACGTGTTTGTCTGTTACCAGGCTGACAACTGCAACTTCTGCATTCAACACCAGAATCATGAGAAAAGGCAACCATCCTAAATGATTTTCAGGATGCCACTTTTGTTTGGAGAAGAATA